CTATGCATCTGCTTTAATCTTTTATAATGAAATGCTACTACTACTACTCTGTGATTAATCAAGTGATGTATTTAATAATATTCTGAGATTCTTTTTCTGTTTCATCTTAGCGAGGCCAACCAGACCAAAAGCAAAAGCGAATTGTGAGAAAGGGTGACAACGATAAGCCCATTCAAAAGGAGGACATCATGTACATTACTAATTGATTATAACTGGATACTGTATCGGCTTAAATTTAACTGCGGCAGCAATTGGGCCAGGTCCTAGTCAAGATGCCAAAATACTGGCAGTAGTTCAGACCTGAAACTTGGGGCGTGCTTCAGTTGCACGCTTTGCTAATCAGAGATTACTTATAAGCTCTGTCCAGTTTAGTACCATGAGCTTCTTCTTGCGGAAGCAGCAGAGCAGGACTTGACAAAATGCAGTTCTCCCTTATTGGAGGCAACATTAGTCAGGTTTATATGTCTGTCCATTACAAGAAGACAATAAACTATACTCCATAACATTGATCTTATGGCTCTTTTCTTCGAAAGCTGGTATATTGGTGACAATGTAGCTCTGATAATTTGATTAAATTTTAGGTAATAAAACATTATCATAAGAGTGTTTTGTGTCGGAGCTTAAAACAAATAGTGTAATCCTTTAGAGTAGCTGATCTGCTAATAGTAGTGTACTCAGGTAGCTTGGTTGCTATACCCCCTTTAGTCTCTTTCCTTACTTCCGAGTTGGTGAGTCACTTGCTAGTTCCGACATAAGCACTTTCTCGGTTATAACAGTTAGTCCTTATAGCATAACCAGGCCATTGGATAGAAATAGCAGAGCCAAACCTTCTTTAAAAGAAGCAAGTCCAAGTCCCTGGAAAGCAGCTACTCTTACAGTCGTATGTATGGGTACTAGACTACTAGCTAATGTTACAGGATCTTCTTTTCATGACAAAGGATTAAAACACAATTATGAGGATGTTTTCTTGTTTTGCTTAAGCTCATGCCAGTTATAGTTGCCCATAGTTCTTGTCTTCTACGGAATACACAACAGGTTGTTTCCAAACGGAAACGTGCTATGTTACTTACATTATTTCCAATTTTAGAAGTTGTTCTTACCAGCTCCCACTTTATGATAGGGCATATATAAAGGATGAATTTTCAATTATATAACTCACCACATAAAGTTATCATATAAAAAACCCTAGCCTCTCTTTCCTCTCTTCTCTCTCTAAAACCCTAGCCTCCATTGTTGAATTTTGAAGGGTCTTCCATCGGTTTTACCAGTGGAAAGCCTCAATCGTTGTTTCTTTGGTGCCTTTTCTCTTGCTTTAGGTTTATAATAATTCTTCCTCTTTTAGGAGGAATATTTCTCCCTCGAAAGATAGGGTTTTTCTTCCTCTTTAGGAGGATTTGGCTCCTTCGAAAGACCGGGTTTTTCTTCTCTCTTTTGAGGGAAGATTTGTTTTTTTATTTCATGGATTGCTATAAAGTTGTTTCATGGGTAAAATTTTGTGCGGGATTGAAAAAGAGATTAATATTTCGACAACAATCGAACGAATAGGACGGACATTTTCTGAACGACTACAACAGATCGATAGACCCCCTCGCCGAAGAAGGTTGTAAATCACAGCGATATGAAAGAGGGTATGAATAATGTACGATTTGCAACAACGATCGTAGCTTTGCTTGCAGAATGTTTTTATTTGATTCAATTATTATGTATTTTTTAGATCTAAATCTCTTTATAGATGTCGTATGACTTATTTATGAATCAATTTTATTTCAAAAAAAAAAAACATAAAGTTATCATATCACAATTTGAATTTAATATTACTTTTGATAAAAATTAAAAATTAAAAATAAAATCTCATGATAAAAGTAAATAAATAAATAAAGTTTGTATGCAATAAATTTATGATTATTATTTTAAAAAAAATGAAAAGCTGAATCATGTTGTAATCAAACCGCTCAAAATTCATTCCTAAAAAAAAAAAAAAAAGGTTCAAAATTCATATTATTAATGTGAATTGATTTATTTGTACCTTAAAAGTTAAAATCAATGAATTATCTTTAGGAAAATTTGCCAATTACTACCGTAAGTTAATACTACTTTGTAAATTACTACCGCAAATTAAAAAAGTTGTGAATTACTACCGCAAAAAATTTTAACATGTTGCGATTACTACCAAACCCCCATTAAACTCAACTATGACGTCATTATATCACTTTAACCCATGGTTAATGCCCTTAACCATGACGTCATTATGGGTCTGTTCACATTTACTGAACTGAACTGATTGGAGCTGAACTGAACTGAAATTAAGTAAATATGAACATGCCCTATATCCCTGAACCATTTTCTTTTTGGGGGGTGGTTAAAGCCCTTAACCATGGTCAAACACGAGTTAAAGGGATATAATGACATCATAGTTGGGTTTAATGGGGGTTTGGTAGTAATCGCAACATCTTAAAATTTTTTGCGGTAGTAATTCACAACTTTTTTAATTTGCGGTAGTAATTTACAAAGTGGTATTAACTTGCGGTAGTAATTGGCAAATTAACCTAATCTTTAAATTCCAAAACACTTTTACAGTAGTTGAATGAATCCAAATAGCATCATATGAAGTTCAGTTAAGTACGTGGAATGAGAAAGCTGGAGGGGTTATCTCAATTAATCTACCAAAGTACAACTTACACTAATACACTATATAATCACTTCCTTTTTTCAGTTTAAAGTGTGACTTGATCACCAACTCATCCTATCATCTCCCCATCAAAAGCGTCATACACATTAGCATATAGTCCCTACGTTTGTAAATACTTACTCCATTTTATTATTTGAAATTTTTTTACAATATTCAATTCATTTTTCTCAACTATTAGACCCAATATAAATCATACGGAGTATTTTATTAAGAAAAATGCTATACATAGCCCTTAGGGCTACATATAAGCATAAAAACTCTCTTGAAAATTGTTTAAATTTAGAAAATCATAACAAAAACACATTAAACACACTGATCTATGCGTGTTTTTGTCATGAATTCTTAATTTTATACAATTTTCAAAAGTGTTTTTAATGTTTATATGTGGCATTAAAAACGGAGAATGTACTTCATATACATTAATTAATCACACTTCGTATTTTATAACTACGGAGTATAATATATCAATACCTTCAATAGTACTCTCTCCGATCCTTTATATAGTTCCCGTTTGAAATCTTGATACTATTCATGATGTGAGGGAATCTTCTAAGTTATTCTTAATATATAAGACATAACATAGTAATGTTGAGTCTTATTTGATTCATCTCGATGAATAGATTGTTAATATTCAATTGTTATATTTTTTACTATGAAGCAACTAACGATATTTATGGTCAAAGTGTCACATTGGAAAACGTGTAAATCTAAGGGACTGTTCTGTTTAGCTTATTTTCAGTTCAGTTCAGTTCCAATAAGTTTTGTTGGATTCAGTTCCTAATTTATTTTCTCTCATAAATATTCAGTTCAGGTAACTCAACTCCAATCAGACCAATTCAGTTCAGTAAAACAAAACAAACCCTATACCTAAATGGGAACTATAAAAAGGTGGAGAGAATAAGATACGCCTTGATAACTACGCAAAAATCAATTTAAGGGTCTGTTCTCATTGACTGAACTCAGCTGAAGTGAAATGAATATTTTATAAGAGAAGGAAATTAGGAGCTGAACTGAACTGAATTTCAACGTATGAGAACAGGCCCTAAGTCAAATTTTCACAAACAAATTTTCGCAAAAATCAATTTAAGTCAAATTTACTAACAAAGAATTTAAATTCTCAACCCTTCAAAAAAAAATTAAGGGAAATTCTCACTGATAACACTCAACTTCTGTTTTTTCTCAATGGTAGAATGCTAAATTTTGGATTATCATTGGTAATCACTAATTAGTAGTACTAATTTACTGGTAACATTAATAAAACTTTTATATAATTATCGACTAACCATGGTTTACTAATAACAAAATTACAAACCTATCCTTCTAAAAAATCATTTCTCTCCTTAATCAATTACCCCTTTATTTAAACCCTAAACCCCCAATTCTATTCGTATTCCCTGCTCTTCTTCTTCTCAATTTCTCTGAATACTTCAATGGCTAAACAAAATGCGAAATTATCTGTATTTTATTAATCGTGGGTAATTCAAGGTTCAATCATGCGAAATGGGAATGACAGCGAAAGTATCCAATCCAATAAATTGATCATCTTGATTGAATTTTTAGTCGGTTGATTATAGATTGAGTTACCAATTCCCCGTACAAATTTATTTTGTTTATCGTAAAGATCTTTCCTCTCAAATCCCATGAACTCAATGAGTTATTAACTCACTCATCATCAACATAGTAACTGAACTTCATTAAAAGATAATGACTTTATAAGTGATCGTGTATTCATGTTAGATACGTGGTTAGTAATCAATTATCATTGGAAAAGGTAAAAACAAAGGTAAATCAATTATCATTGAAACCAATAACAACAAAAATTGCATGACAATTAAACAAACACTAGCACAATTACTGTAATCATATATTCATATGAGTTTATCTTATTTAACTCGCCTTATTTTGACAAAAAAAAAATCATCGGTTTCAGTTAAATAGTACGGAGAACATGTCTATATGAGCTTATTATGATCATGTTATTACTTGTGTGTTATTGTGGTTGAATGTGGTTGCTCTGGGATAGGATTCACTCAGCTTTTACAATAGATATTTAGCGACAGTTGTTATATCATGATCATGTTATTTTTGAGTTCAAGGAATGTACATGTCTATTGTCTTTATGAGCATAACACCAGAACATAATTATCACTCAGCTTTTATAACAAATATTCAGCAATATTCTACTTTTGCCCGAATTTTCGAAATAAAAATCAACACAAATAAAGACTTACATGACTTCGAATCACCAAAAATAGGGGCAATTAAGTCATTTTGCAGCTAATTTCCCACTTAGAAGGGAAGTCCTTCTCCCTAAGCAAGATATCAAGAACACTTATTAAAAAATTAAATAAAGATACACTCATTTCACACGTGGCGTATGTTAACAAGACTTATCCACTTCCATTTCCATTCTAAAAATCGAAAAAATTCCCGAAAAAATCTCTCTTTATTATTCCATCTTTACTTCACTCAATCAAATTCCCATTATTTTCTCATAATAATCTATTATCCATCCTCCAATTTCCCCCAAAATTCCATAAACCCTAAAAAATTCAATCAAATTCACCATGGGCGGCGGCGGAGCCATGAGAGCGGCGGCGAAAGTCGCCGGACTCGGAGCAATGACCGGCGGATTTCGCGCGGCGAGTGGAGCGGCTGAAACTCAGGTGAACTTAGCGGCTCGAAAAACGGTTCGACCGGTTTCTTCTGGGTTAGCATCTTCGACCGGTGGATTGACGGTTGAAGAAACGGTTCAGAAACCGGCTTGGGAGATTGATGATTGGGAATTTGCTGGTGTTGAAGATGAATTCGTTGTTGACCGGGTTGATTCGGGTCAACCCAGATTGGTTTTTGGTCCTGTTCCTACTATTGAAGAAACTAAGGAAGCTACTTCTGAACTTAAAGATGCTCTTGATCAGTAATTTTTCTATTTCTCCCTTTTATTTTATTGGATTCATGTTTTTTTATTGATTTGGATTTTATTTTATTGAGTTTTTTTTAGCAATATATCGATTTATTGTTGGATTAAATGATTTGTGGGGAATAATTGTGGAAATGGTACCAACTTCCGTCATGGCTCGTGATCAAATCTCGTCTACGTCATGTATAAAATGCGATATTTATATGGATTAGTTGTCAATACTGTATTGGAGTTATTTGAATTTTAGTGATTTTCTATTTATTAATTAATTTTTGTTTTGATATGGGAAAAAGGAAAGGAAAGGAAAGGAAAGATTGAGTACTATTTTATAAAGGGAAAATAATGTAATTGTTAGTTTTGAATTTGGTTTGTGAATTAATGATTAATTATTGGAAATTTGAGGCAATAGGTTTTTTGTCTGCATAAGAAGCTGGTTGTTGATTAAGAATTTCTGGATAATCTTGTCAAATTAGGTAGAAAAGGTTTTGTCTTTGGATGATTTTGTGATGCTATTGCCTCTTTGTAGTGTCCCATTGTAGAATGGTGTTCATGTTAGAAGTCTTATCTCAGTTATATTGCTGAATTTTGAATAACTGCCGGAGTTCTGAAAATTCTGATTATGAGCTCAATCTTTGCAAAATGCAAGTGTAATTAACTGTTATGAGTGGGAGAAATCATTAGTGTTACTGTAATCTGATGTCCTGTGCTCTACTTTTGGGCTTGTCAACACCTTTGTGGTTTCGTATTCTAGTTCATTCTAGCTTTTTATTGAGCTCATTTGCTATTTGTAGATATGGCCGTATGGGGCAACCGGACAATTCCTTATGTCCATCCCTAGATAGCTGCCAGGCCTGCCACACCACTAGTTACATGGTGATACCTAATAATTTGTTGCTGGTTAATTTGAATTATATAAGTACAAATTCTTCATAGTTTTCATTTGCTTCCAGGCCTTTAGAATACTTCATTTTGACTCTTAAAGAGGCTACTCGATCCCATATAGCTGCCTAGCTGGGGTTGTGCTTTGAACTTTTGACCCTAATTTGTTATTTTACTCGTAGTTACTAGGCCTTTTTATTTGTAATGTATTTTAGGAATCTCCCTTTCTGACACCCGTTTTTCATCTGTAATCTTACTATTGTGTAAGCTAATTAGCTTCATCAGAATTATGATTGTTGCTGAAAACTTCTGTAGGAAATTTAGGATTGCCGTTCTTAAGGGATGGAATATTGTGATATGTAATTTAAGTAATCAACTGAAACATTATTCCCCTTATCTATGTTACTCGGACTCTTTCATTTACCTCACGTGTCCGTGTCGACACGACTCGTGTCGGACACCGACACCGACACTTGGACACTTCATTTTTAACTAAAAACAAAACTTTTTTCAAGAAAATGGGCGAGTCCGATACTTGGACACCCGTGTCTAATTTGACACTTCATCCGAGTCCAAGTAACATAGCCCTTAATCATCCTGAATTTGGATTTGGTCAAGAAAATTACTTTGGCCTTTGCAAATTGATCGATAAACTGGCTCAGTGGCTATCTTCTACCCTTCGAGCATTTGGCACAGCATTTAACTCTGTAGAAAGTATGAGACCTTTTTTTTTTTTTTTTTTGGCTCCTTTCATCGTCATCATTGTGTTAGTGCTAAGTTATTTATATGAATGGTACTTATTTACAGGGTATATCTCTCTTCACCAAAATCTTCTGGAAGTGTGGACTCATTCCCAGCTTTCCATGAGACTAAAGCTTGCATCACTCAGGAATCACGTGTGCCAAAAAGTGCAATGCAGGCGTTTAGGTTGCTCAAAGAAAGCCCTGCTGCTCAGGTATTGATTTGTCTTTCATATGTTTATCTTGTCACTAATGGCAATGCTCATTAGCTAAATTTTGTAGATGGAGCTCTACTTAATAGTATTGGGCTATGTGTATAGTATTAGTTATTAAAGATTTTATCAAACATCTGACTACATACTGATCCAATAAAACTGACAGCAACTATCAGAACTAGTTTCCTTGTCATTAATTACTGCTGTACTGACAATGAGAGTCTAGAAGCTGTTTATGGAGGAGAAATGTCTATTTTAGGCTACTCTCTTCAAAGTTGAAACTTGGATGGATATTTTCTTGATTATATTTGTTTGGTTATGTGATCAAGGGTATATTGAACTTTGTGGTTGAAATGTGAATTTCTTAAATATTGGCATTTCTCGTATCCTGATACGGCCTTGTTCTCTCAACATAATTAATTAACTTTATGGAACTGAAAATAATTTTATTGATTATAACCAACTATTGATCATACCAGAATTTATTGACTGAAATTGATTTTACTGATTTGATTTGCTGTTGAATCTGTTTATGAAATTGTTGATTTTAACTGATTAGAATTCATTTTACGTAATAAACTTGCATATAGCAATATACTTCATTAAAAAATTTCTGAAGGTGAAGTAAAACAAGGCATAGGTTTATGATGTGAGATTCTCTATGTGAGCATAATCCTTGCTGGAAAATAGGATTGCCTTTGTGTAGCTTTTAGTTATTAACTTATTTATTATTGTTTGCAGCTCAAAGTGATGTCTTTTATTCGATTGTTTCTGTCATCAAATTTAAAAACTGCTTGCAATGTTCAATAGAATAAATGTGGGCAATGAAGAATTGAGGCATTTTCGTAATGCTTGATAAGGGTTAGAAAGGACTACAGTATATAATGCCTTTTCTGCTTTTGTTCTTGGTTTTTTATTGCTATGACTGCAAAATACATTAGAATTGAGTACTTGCAACTTGCTAGTTTACGCTGGACTTTCCATTTTTAAGAAAGTGTCAAGATGCTCTGACTCTTGTTAGTTTGGATGAAACTGTATGTGATATATGTGATATTTTTTTTTGAGTTTAATTGTCTAACTTTGATTGTTTTTCCCTGTTATTCTCTTCTCTTGGCAGACTGTAGTTGCTTCAATTGCTTGTGATCCTAATGTGTGGACTGCTGTTATGCAAAACCCAATTCTTGTGGAGTATCTCGAATCAGAGAAAAAAGGTAAGAAACTCTTAAACCCATACTTAAATTCTAATTCGAGTTATTCCCTATGTTATTAAATATGTATAATGTATATACATTTGAAGTCTGATCATGTAGTACAAAACTTACAGCTACTTTATTTGAGAGTCCTGAGTTGGAGAATCAAGAGTCTACAAAGAGCTCAGTAAATTCTCCTGATTACGATGATAATGAAAAGCCTGATGGTCTGATGGCTTTGCTAGAAAATGTAAAGCTTACAGTAGTCGACATGGTTCAAAACTTGACTGAAATGGTACAGAGCTGGTTTGCCGTCCCAGAGACGGATAAAAGAGCTGGATGTACTGATGATAACTCCAGGATTTACTTGGCCGGAGGTTCATTCATGGCACTTGCCATGATGGTGATCATGGTGGTAGTGATGAAGCGAGGTTAGACTTGAAATTCCTCAGCTGTCTAATTTGTCGATCCTTCAACATCTAGTCGTTTTTTGCTTGCAAAGAACTATAACAGAGTTCAGGTTTTATTTGAGTGATATCAAGTGTCAATGCACGGTAAATGTTATGTTAGTACATTTCTCATTTCGGTACGTATATGGCTTTCTGAGAAATGTTAGTAATCATCGGAAGACATCCTTGTACAGTTAAGTTAGCGAAGAATAATTGGAAGACTCTTTAATAGGTATATGAAGGAATTTTCTGTGCTTTATTTCTTAAGTGTATTTATTACCTAGTTGAGAGAGTCTATGATGATAATCTGTAATAGCAAGGTTTACTACATCTACCAGTATACCACATTACCACCCACATTAGTTTTTTCCATGGGCTGTTATGTTTTATACTTCTGCTATCCATCCGAGGGATTTGTCATCCACATTAAATCCACCCTATAACCTATAATAGCAGGCTGAACTGATATTCACCACCGTAGACAGGCCCAAACGTATAATCTCTTATCTGCTTTGACTTATGATGATCTTCGATAATGGGGTTAATTATCTCAAACTGGTTCTCGTATATGTGGCCTATTCATTAGGGACGACAGGGTTAGTCTGGACACTAGACATGATCCTATATGTGGCCTATTGTTTAGGGACGAAAGGGTTAGTCTGGACACCAAACATGATCCTATAAAATTCGGAATCGACAATAATGATAAAATTAGTCTGGCCACCTTCAGGACATATTGTCACCATCCCCTGAAACTGCAGGTTGCAAGTGAGATGGAGGTTATGTTGTGTCTTGTATGTGCATTAAGACAGCGTTTTTAGAGTGTCAGTGATGGGTAAATTATTTCTATTTTGGTGGTTTTCAATTAATTAATTTACTCATAAAACTGTAACATTTGATTGAAAGTAAAATTGGCAAAGAAAGACAAACATATGAAATAACAAGGGAAACTGCATGGGTTGTCTTAATTGTTGAAGACAAACAGCTCCTTACTGCCAGCTGAATTTGTTGTCCAGCTAATTTAATCAAAGTGGAAAGAGAGAGAAAAACGACATATGCTATGATTATTTAGCATTTTTTTTTTATCTCAAATTAAATTAATTTAGTGGACTAATCGCTTTATTAAAATACTTCTTTTGATTATGATAAGTATGATTACTCCTAAATTAATTATGCTCTATTGTCTTCCATGATTACTTCTATATAGCAGGTGAATAATTGTTCTTCACGTAAAAAGTTTTTGGTTGAAGACAAAACTCACATAGTACGTACTATGGATTATAATAATAGAAGTAGGTTTAATCACCTCAAATCACATACATGTTGAGAGCGGTGATTTTGATTTGGAATAACTGAATTAAATTTGTACGAATTTACTATACAATGTTTGTATGTAAGATCTTCTACTAGGCCATTACATTCGGAATTTCGGTAATGGTAAAAATGCATACAAATTCAGAATAGAATGTGATCTATACAACTTCTAAGTCAAAATCGTGTATTGGCATGTACTTTCTTTTTTTTTTAGTTGTGAAATGAATTTTTAAGCCAAGATGTTTATTATAAAAAAAAAATACCATTTGTTATAAGAAAATACCCGTAATAACCTTAGTGGTGTGGTAAAGATAGAAGATTGGTGGGAGCTGATAATCATTGGGGTAAATTCAGTGACATACCCATTTACCCCTTCCCCTTTTACACTATGTGCCTTCTAATTGGTTGCCTACTACAAACAAAAATAAAAATGAAAGTAGGAAAATTTTGATCCAAAGTATGAATGATACTTTTTTAACACATATGAAAGATACTTGTATGCTCTAAAAGGTCCAAATTCTTAATTAATTTAAGATGATCCCATCTTTTGGAGTTTATTTTCAAAACAATTCTCTTCTATAATTACCTTGTTAAATTACGGAGTAGTTAAACTTGAAATGTGACACATTCTCATTTAGGGCCTCTTCTGATTGACTGAACTGAATATTTTATAAAAGAAAGAAATTAAGAACTAAAGTGAAATGAGCTGAAAATAAATCGAAGAGAACGGGCCCTTAGGCTCTGTTTTCATTGACTGAACTGAGCTTAAATGAGCTGAACTGAACTGAAATGAATATTTTATTAGAGAAGGAAATTAAAAGCTAAACTGAATTGAGTTGAACTAAACTTAAATAAACTGAAAATAAACGTACGAGAACAGACCCTAAATCTAAAACAAAGGAAGTAAAATCGACTTAGAAAAGTAGATGAGGCAGTTAGAAGGATACGAGTAACGAGATGGCAGGGGGCCCGAGTCTCACATGCTGGTTATTTATAGTCACATTTGTCTGAAGCATCTAAAATGTACTGAATATAATAATGATACAAATACACAACTAGTCAAAAATAAAACAAACGAAGCTAGATAAAACCCAGTTGATATGTAGCCCCCAAAAAATATGCTAAAGTCCAATAACTGGAGAACAAACTTGAATAGTATTTGCAATTATACCCCTCTATCAAATCAATTAACGTACAGCTTGCTGTCTTCCATTTGCCAGTCAAATCACCAATTTGCATTTGTGGGTACCACCGTTTTCTTCACCAAAAAAGCTAATTAGACGTTGTCATTTGGGTCCCATTTTCATAAATAATTATTCTAGTTTGGACCCACCTTTCCCGCTCTAGCATGCAATGTTTGTTGCTAAATTTGCAATTATTGATTTTTAAGAGGGATCCTATGATCTAATATTATTGATTATGATCTAATTTTAATCAATTTTTTTGATAAATTTTGGTCACATGTTTGAAATTTATTTAATGCTATATATAGATATTTTCTTTTTTTTTTGTGGGAAAATGTTGATATTTTTTTCACTAGTTAAAGTTGGATTGATATAAAGCTTTCTAAAAAGACAACTTATATTATCAAGCTCTCAAAACACTTTCCTCTTAATGGGTAGAAACACATAAAGAAGAAAATGTTATAGGTAAAGCAAAATTCATGTGAGAATGTGTACAAGAGTGTGATATTAGATGGATTACTACTACTCTTTACTAGTACGAGTTCATACCGACACATCTCAAACACATACGAGTATTATATATAATCATAATTCTGTACCAGTGCTGTTTAAAACCATGTTTTTAATGATTCATCTTTCACATGATTCACATTATACTATTAATAAGCATATCAAACATTCAAAGTTTCAAACATAGACTCCATCTAAACTTGACCGAGGAAAAAATCGATTGAAATTAACCTGTAATCTAGATAGTCCGTGAAATGTTATTTAAGTATGCCTTTTCAAATGTATATAATAACCTAAAATACCTTAAATATGCATATAACTAGAGGACCCAACTAAAAAAAAACTGACAATCTTTCAATGAACTTCAAACCCAAAAATTTTAATTGATTATCCAAGATTGACTCCACTGACACATTTGATATGCCTTCATTAAGTTAAAGTTACATGTCATAAAAGAATAATACTATGTTTATGTTAATTTTGGAACACTACAATGGCCAATCTACAAGAATACCAACCCTTTGAAGTTTCAATAGTCATTAATATACTTCAATTAATCCACTAATATACTTCAATAACTCATCCTTTTCATTATCTAACTGTTCAGAATCCTTTTTGTTACATTCATGTTTAATTTCTTTTCCTTTCACTCAAAATGGATGCCATTGAAGCGTTTAGCATAAAATGCTTAACTCTTAACTCTTAATTTGTCAGAATTTTGCTTAAATTTCATGTAACAACTAAGCAGTATCTACTCTCCATTCTTTTTTCAGAATATACTGTAATAGACTACCAGATTTCACAAAGTTTTGAAACTACGAATAGCAAGAAATGGTGAAAAAATAAAAGAAAAACAAAATTTCTAGTAAGAAGGAATCTGATACATTCAAAATTTGACACCAAAATTTCGGATCTATACAAGTTATCTAACAAACCCCATTTCACACACCTATTCAAGATCATCTTAACTCACAAATTATATCATCATCATTCATCAATCAAACCACACAGTGAGAGAAAGGGGAACATTTTCATAACATAGTTTCATCAAATCTTATTCTTCATCTTTCTGCTCCAAATCCTTTGTCTTTCCTTCCACTATAATTTATTAATCCTGTAAAAAAAAAATCAAAGTAAAATTACAAAAAAGAAGAAAAAAACACTCTTTTTTTATCAAAGTTAAGTTAAACTTATAATAACCACTAAATAGTACATTCATGTAGATTAAGCGTAACGTAAACAAAAACTAACTTAAACTAAAGCACACTCCATCATCAATTAAATAAGATTAGCACCCAATAAAGTTTTGTACCAAAATCAACAAATTGGAGGTCGAAAATCTTTTGATTTAGCAAGAAATTTTGTACACCCAAATCAATTACACCCCTAATAATTTGATTAAATATCAATTAAAAACCTTAATAGGCAAATTCAAGCTAAACCCGAATCAATTAAACACTTAATTAGAGATATTCAAGCTAAACCCAAATCAATTAATCACCTAATTAGACAAATTCAAGCTAAACCCAGATCAATTACACATCTAATTTGACAAATTCGATCTCAGAGTTATTTGCATGAAATTCAAAAACACCCAAATCAATTAAAACAGCCAGATAAAAAAAAATTCAAAAAATTACAAATTAAACCCTAAAAATGATAAATTGAACTAAAAATCAAACAACCCAGAAAAATTAAATGACAAAAAATTACCTTCTTGAGGTCTGCAACTAGGAGGATCTTCAAAAAGTGACAAAGAAAGTTGTTTTTGAGCCATACCAATATCAAACAAAATAATCCCAGATTTGGGATCAAAAACAGTAATTTCTTTAACAGGTAACCAAATAAAAAGCTCTTCTTGTGATAATCCTTCAACACCCATAAGTTCACCATAAGTAAGATTAGCTTTTACAACACTTTCAAAAAGAACCCTGTTTTCGAATTTTGTTAAACATGGACCGTCAATATAAACTTCTAGAAGACCGGTTTCATCGTTGAATTCGTAGGATTTAACTTCTTTAGGGAGTAAACCGGCTGGTAAGCCTTTCTTCTTCAGAAGGTCGTGGACTGTCATGGTGGATGATGACGTGGAGGAGAGAGAAAGTGTGAAACAGAGGATTGTTAGAATTGTGAGTTTTTGTAGCAGAGTTGCCATTTTTATTTTTTGGGGAGGAAGAAAGATGAAGGAGGTTTTTTGGGTTTTGATTTTGAGTTTTATTAATTTGTTTGTTAACAAAGAGAGAGAAAGAAGGAGATATTTGGGGAAAAGAGGTTGAGAAATGGGAAAGTTTAAATGGGTGTTTGATGTTTATTGTGAGAT